CGAGTGAATACTCGAATAATTGAATATTCCATTCGAATACTATTCGAGAGTTCGAGTACTCAACTTTTAAAGCATCATTCCACACGAATTCCCTCGAGTACTCGAGTCCAGAAAAATGTGACGAGCAACACCGTTTCCACTGCAACTCGTCGATCGTGTCGCTCGAGATATCGCGTTTGCCAATCCAGCTGCTATCTCCTGTTTCCTTGGCCTTTCGCTCATCGTGCGAAAGTGTGTTAAGCCACTCTGGGGCCGGGAGATTGGGACAACGTCTTGATCGCTGATCCTATTACTCTTTCTTTTTCCCGAACTAGACAAACTCGAGAGCCATGACCAAACTATTTACTTGGTTGAGTATCTTCTCGTCGTCTTTCAGAAATCTCTCGTGTGTCGCAACTTGATCATCGAACACGAGAGAAAAAAGAAACAGGGTCGAATCGATCGTACGAGGGATTGAATAATCAGAAGGACGAAGTGTGTCGCAATCAGAGCATTTCGAACCTTCTTAATTACGAGGCAGGTGCTCAGGTATTTGGCGGAATCTAAAATTTCGTCATTCATGCGGAATTTTCAGGATGAGTAATAATGTTGAGAGAGAGAAGACGAGAATTTTGGCACCTCTTTTTCTCGATACTTGAACAGGTGTTCCCTTGGCGTCGTTAAGATTACAGTTCGTTATTACGCTATAAAAAAATCCTTAAGTGACGTTCAAATCGAGTGTAATTGTACAAGTTGAGGCACGTCGATAATGATTTGACAAATTTTGAAAATTTTGAGCGATAAAAGTAAAGAAACGAGTCAGCGAGTCCAGATACGTACTGCATCGCTTTGGATTTAAGTAGATTATAGAAGTCCGCTCGAAAGGGGAGAATCTTTGTTTCGGAGGACTCGAGGAATGCGTCCTTGGTCCACCGAGGGGAAACGACTTTGCGGATGTAGCCATCGTCCAATCGTATCGGCGTGTGGGCCTCGTGACAACGTTTCACGGTACACGAGCACAGTAAAAAAAAAACCTTGAAAAAGATTTGCACGCAAACGATACCGGAAAGAAATTATGCGGTCGACGTCTGTCTCGCGCGAACAACGGTGAATAATGTTTAAAAAAGGCCATTTTTTCGTTGTACTTGTCAGAAACGAAACAATTTTACGTAATATACGTATATTAAATTCAGCTCGTAGCATGCTTGGAATGACAAGTGAAAGGTTAATAACAATCCGCGTTAGTGCTCGTTTTACTCGCGAAAAATTTCGAAGGAATATTTTCATGGGATATTGCGCCGCTGTATCACCTTTTGCCTCACCCACGACACGTACTTAACGCACGTCGCATCTCGTCGCGCGACGAATAATAGGAGTGTCATTGATCTCGAAACAATCACCGAAGCCTTGACGTTGCACGGATCACGCTGCGGACGTCGGTTCTCGAATCGCGACTGTTTCTTCTCACGTTCCGTTTCTCCTCCATCGGTGTCGATAATCAGAATTGGGACCTTACGATTACAATTTTTCCCTATTGACGTTGCAACGAATGACATTTCCAGCTGGCTGACGGCGGCGACGACACCGAAATCCCCCGAAGAAGCCTACGGCAATTATGCTCGAGATGCGCAACGACGGAAAAGGGAAATAGCTGGTTGTCCCCTGCTGGCTGTGGAACGGTATTTCAAAATAACTTTGCACCTCGATGAACAGCGGTCAAGCTGCTCGACGTAGGTCTAGCTTGGTCGTCACAATCTCTGGACGCGTCGCGTAACTTTCCAATTGATCGATGAAATCAAACTTGGCCAGCGAATAACCTTAGAATTAATAAGATTAATCGTTTACGGTCTTAGCTCTTTAGTACCCTTGGATTTAAGGATTAAGGATAAATGATTAAAGATCCGATGAAAGTAGCTCGAGGATGTTCGCGTATCGATGAATCATTTTTCTATGAACGGTAACGCAACAGCGACTGAGCACTCAGGAAATTTTAAGAGGTCTTTCATATGACGAGCAGGACGAAAGCGGTCGACCATTTTGGGACGCGTGAGCCACCTTGGCAGAGAGAAATTACTCACACCGGAGAAAGGCGTACGAATCGTAGAATTCTAGCCGAAAAAAAGGTCAGATCCGCCATGAGACAGTTTGGCAAACGGGATCTATGTCATCTATGTTAAAAGAACTAACGATAACAGATTAACTCCTTGGGGACAAATGTCGGCAAATAGCCGTCCAAAGACGCTCGCTCGCAAAAGGGTTAAAGAAAAAAATTTTCTTTCCCAAACGGGGTCAAAAGTTTCATTTAGATATAAGAATGCACGCCTGTTAAAATTTGAGCACTTAATATTAATCGTTTTCTATTTTCCGACACACGTCCCCAAAGGGTTAAAACAGAGTAATTAGAGTGATCCTAGTTAATTTCACCACCCTGTAGATGCAGTGTAGGAGTACGTCGTGCGTATGTGCGTGCACGTAAGCTTTTTGTTGTGGCCGTGACCGTGAAACTGTAACCAGTTACTTTCCTCATCTCCAAAGAGCAACGTTGATCATGGTCCTTGCGTATGCGCTTCGGGTACAAGACAGAGACCATTTAGCATGAACAACTCCGAGATATTTTCTATAAAAATATTTTCACCAAGTTGGGAAATCCCAAGTTGTATCATTAATGGAAGGTATTAATAGAATCCGTGAAGGATACAACGAGGAAAGATCGAGCGCACGCTCGCTCGCAACACTCCGCTTCTAATTGCTTCCGCCGATAATTAATTCGACACGTTTTCACGCAGAATCCACTTTGCGTATCAAAACAATGAAGATGATCCCTGCAAACTATCGCAAACGCTTTCTTTTTCAGTTACAGCCTACTTTCGACTCGCGTACAAATTCACGGACAGGAAAAATTTTATTCGAGTAATAAAAGAAATTTATTCGCGACTATAAAATTATAAAAATCGAGAAAATAAATACTCATGTGTAGATCTGATTGAAAGTGTCAGGAGATCTTTTGTAAAATTGTATAGAATATCTTGTACTTACAGGATTTTTTTTTTTTTTAACTTATTTACTTCATTTTAAAAAATGATCCTCGCAACAGTTAGTGCAAGAAGACGCTCGGAAGCGAAGGGAAATTTGTTTGCGAGCTCCATGCGCGGGTCGGTCGCGGCATTTCGACAATTTGCATGAAGCGCGCATGTAATATTAGCGCCGTGAGTCGCTTTCACTGGTTGTAAAATAACTGCTGGCTCGGAGGATATGTTCACGAGGTGCCCGTGAAATTGGTACCTAGACCGAGTTTCCATCTTGCTCGAAATCGACGCATTCCCTCGAGATCAAGAATCGAACGTTCCCAGATCCGGGATCGAAGAATCTCGATCGCAAAATTTCGACGTGCAAACTCTTTTCTTTCTTTCGCTATCACGTATCTCGCTGTGGTTTCCAAATATTTTTGGAGCATGCTCTGGTAGGTTTAGTGTTCAAAAATATTACTGGTGACCATATATTAAAATCACGGATTCTTTACCCTTTCATATTAAAAGTTTGACGAATGTTTTTTTAGAAAATGTAGTTCACCCTGGGTGAAAAGTTCCTCGAGCTACGCCCAGGGGGATCAAGTTGAAACGGACATCGGAGGACGGACGTCGGTTAAGAAACACGCTTAAAATTTAACACGACACCGCCAGTGACCTCAGCGTCCGATTACATGATTAAATAATTGTCCCCGATTCGTTAACGGTTCATACAACGGAATTCACGAAGTGTACGCAGAGGGAATGAAGAACCACCGTTTGCGGATCTTTAAAGTAAGTCAGATAAATACTTCGGACGTTTACTTCGAATGTACGTCTCTCGTTCACACTTTGGCGAACAAAACTGATTCTATCGAAATAGATTATCAAATTTTAAATTTCCCTTTCTCGATAAAACAGGAGCGTCCCTTCGATAAAAAAAAAAAAACAAATATTGAGAAACGAGGAATGGCGAAATAAAATAATTGCAAGGGGCATACCGTAGAGGCTGATCCATCCGAGTATCCAAAAGCTCAAGAAAATTTTGCCAATCATCTCACGATTCGTGGACCAGCCGGAAAGACGAGTTCCTCTTCTCAAAATTCCATCGTCCGTGTATCGGCGCGAAAATCCAAAGAAGCACGTGCTGCTCGCCGATTCGCCAGAAGGAATCTTCGAACCACGCGAAAGATCAGCGAGCTTTCATCCTCCTGTTTGGTCGACGATCAATCGAAGGAACCGATGATGAAGCTGTCCGAAATGTCCGAAAGCGACCAAAGGAATAAAGGACGATCGAGCTGGAGCCTCGGCGACTCGACCCGCGAGTTTCTATCGATTTCTCCTGGCCTTTCGTTGTTCGTGTCTCCGCCGCGTCCTTCGGGGTCGAATTTCGCGTTATCCTCTATTTTGCAATTTCACTTGGAAACGAATCGCGTTCCCTCGCACGCGATCGTCGCGGCTCAACGATCTCCGCGCGACTTCGAGGGAGAGTAAAAATGTTACGAGGCAAGCATCGGAAACCAGATCGAATTCACGGAGTCTCTGTCAAAAAGACGCGATTTTCACAGCCGAACTCTTCGGCTCCTGCTGAGCTTTCTCCTTCTAACGACTCGAGGCACTCGGACGATCGACGATCCTCGAGCACGCCGCTCGAAGAGGAGTCTACGCGGGAGAATTTGTATTTAGTTTGAAACGAACTGATTCGATTGAATTTTTCTGCCAATTAAAGTAGCCCCTCGAAACAGTGCTGACTATTATTGTCTGTAGAATGAAACTACATGTCCCCCGCACGTGCCACAATCGTTCACTCGACTTGCGAAATTCGTCGCGAGGCTCGTCGATCGTAAATGATACGAACGTGTGCATGAAACGATCACATCATCGTTTCGTGGACGCGTTACTGAAACAGCGCGTGTTCCATGTCGTGAAATCGCCACCGATCCCGTCGCTCGTCCAAAGGAGCAGCTTATAATTGTAATTTTACTTTGCAATTTATAATGTAAAGTAAGCTGACTCGAATTTAGCGGCTGGCCGATAAATTCCCGCGATTCATTGTCCGCGAATCGCTTTCGAGGCGATCTCGAAGCTCGATTTTCACGGAGCGGCGCACTCCGAGCAAAACGAGAGGCCTGGCGCGCCAGCAGAAACTAAGAGAGAGTTAGGCTCGCGATGCCGTCGTGCTACACCTGTAGGAACACCAGAGCTGCTACCTCGTGGCCTACTATAACAGAACTGTCTCCCACCATCGCTTTACCGCATCTCTTTACCTGTCATTCGCGAACTGGTGTTGTTTACACGCCCCACAGTGGGAGATTTGCATCGACAAGTTGGCCAAAATTATCATACCACTCTAATCACCCTTAATTGACAGTACTCCTGAAGTAGTCAAAAATATTTATCCTCTTTCTGGATGCTCACAGTCGTCTCGAGTATTTTATTATTATACAGAGTGTCACAGCATCGGTGGTACAACCGAGAAGCAGGTGATTCTACATGAAAAAACAAATCGAAAATAAGGAATAAAATTTTTTTATTTGAGGTTTCGTTCTCGAGAAAATCGATTTTGAATATTAAGCGAGTACGGGTACACTTAATTATCGCCTAGATAGATGGATCTCGATACAGACTTTAAAATTCACTCTAAATCCGTAGACAGAAATGAGCGATACAGCACATCATCTTGATACTAACGATATGAGTACTACTTATTAATGACATATGACTTGTATCGGGATCCATCCATCTAAACCATAGTCGCGTGTACGCGTACTCGCTGAATATTTAAAACCGATTTTCACGAGAACGAAACTTCAAATGAACAAATTTTATTCTTTATTTTCGATTTGTTTTTTTTTTTATGTAGAATCACCCCCACCTCGGTTGTACCACCGATGCTGGACACCCTGTATATCGAGTCATTAATTTTGAATTCGAAGCATAATTGCTCCTCGGAATGTTTAGGGTCCTCTCGGATGAACCTCCATTTAGATTTCAGGAAAATCACACGCAAAGGTGTTACAGTGTGAGGATCGAAGGGAAAATGTCATCGTAATATACGGTATGTTCTTTCTCTCGCTGTCGAGAGATGCCCATTGTCTTCCTGTCGCACAAATTAGCAGGCGTGCAGCGAGTCGTTAGAAATTAATTCTTCGTACGTATTGACAATTTATGGTCAGCTCGTATACTATACAGAGTACCGCGAATGTGTCGCAACGTGGAAGCAGGTGATTCCTCCTTAAAAAGAGAAATTGCAAAAATGACGTGTAAAATAACATTCGTATCGTTAATTTGATTTTAAATCGATTTTCTGGAAATGTGAGGCTTGGTGGTAAGAAGTCATCAGCTATATCTTTCTACGTGTTTTAGAGCACGCTGTATGTCGTTGCCCAACAAAGGTAGTAAAATTTTCCGTGGGTGTCGCAACAGGGGAGTTTCACCACCGATGAAAGCATCCGCACAATTACACGCGAGCTACGCATTGCCAAATATTATATCACCGTACCTATGCCAAAAATGGTCTCCTGGTTGCCCCTACTCGCGATAGAAAGGACTGTGACTCGCTTTCGAGAATGATCGCTAATGATATCGATCGATACGATCGAGGAAGTACTTATTACTTGTTTCAATCTAACGAAGAATATATTCTACGTGGATTATATTAGGTTGTTCCAAAAGTTTCTTTCGCTTTATTAATAAGTAATACATGCACAATATTTTATGTTTTATGTTACATTACTGAATTGTGCACGGTTCATTTTGCTCCATTACTGTTACAATATGAATATCTATGAAACTAGAACGTCTATTTATATAAACACGACCATATAAAATAATTGAGTGCAGCTCGCGAAAGAAACTTTCGGGACAACCTAATACATGATTTCTTCATATCATTTTCTGTACACAGCGGCTAAAGTTACAGCACTGTTCTGATCGACAACTGATCGCTTCAGGACTGTAAATATAAGATCTGTGTAGTATCCATAGATCGCACGTGTCTCGAAACTTGAGTAGGTATTACGTTTTTGCAACTAGAGAATAATATCTAACGTGTCACCGTTAGATGATTATTTTAATTTAATACCCATTTCCTTTGTAATCACTAATCATACTTGTAAGAGTAAAAGGTAATACTAGCGATTATATGTATCTACATTTTTATTGGCTAATAATGTTACAATGCAGGTGTTCCAATGCAGGTATTTCAATGTCTTCAGTTTTTTTTTATGTACATTATTTGAGTTGCGCGCACAAAATAGTGCGGATGGATGATCGTTTTGTTTATTTATTTACATAATGGTATTAATTAGGATACAGTAAGCGCCTTGTAGTAAAAGTATAGAATGATAATCCTTTTATTTTATGTAAAATATACAATAAAACTATGAGATCCTGATAACTCAGTTTTTAACTCTGTAAAACTCGGATTCGTCGAAGTCATCTTCAATCTCTTCCATTATTTTTACTTTGGATAAAGGTGTACGTGCAGCTATCCTGATGTGACGCTCCTCTTTCGAAAGAGTGTTGATATCAAGGGGAAGTGAGATTATTTTCCTTGGTTCAGTGTAATCTATATTTATGCTACTACCATCTGGTAAAATAAGGAATGTAGGATAGGTTCTTATATATAATTTTCTATGCTTCTTTGTTATTCCTGCCGACCAACAATTGATATTTCTGCAAATCGATAGCACAGCCTGTGATGATCGCAAAAGTGGAGACACATTCATTCTGAAATATGAATATACAATACAGAAATTTATGAATATACAACACTTTACCTTTAATACAACAAAAAATAATCGATTATTTACATGAAGAGGTTAGGTTTGACACTTGAATTACACAACTTTAATATACTAATGTAATAGTTGCAAAATGAGTCAAAAATAATATTATCTTCCAATACTACAATTCTCCTGAAATAAAATTTAAATTGAAATAAACTTACCTTTCGTTTTGAAAGACACCGATAACCTCAGACAAAAACACAAGTATATCCACAAAGGTTAGCGCTCACTAAACCGTTCAGTAAACATATAGTCAACTTTAATTCGCAATTTTCTTTAGTTGCAAATTGTAGAAAAATAATAAATTAAACGTTTATAATTATTGTAATGATTTTATGTGAATAAAATAACAAATACTTTATAATAATTTTCATTCATATATTTGACTACAGTTGTCAAAAAGGTGTCGTCGAACGGTATCGCCATCTAGCGGTGGAAGGTTTTCCAACCTACGTAGCAAGGAATCATAAATTTTGCAATTATGTACATATATACGTAGTTCAACATACTGTTAAACACAATATATCATTAATTTGGACCTGTAGCTTTGTATTTAAAATACAAAAATAATTAAAAATTCATTTTAACTTCATGCCGATAATCAACTATTTAGTGCCGCCATCGGTGGTGAAACGCCCAAGTTTGTAATAAAAATACTTTCCATCTTTCTTATAAGATGGCACCACTGATACCTTCAATCAATTAATTCTTTTTTCTTCCTAAATACATAGTTAATACGATTCTTTGCTTTATAACACTACAATATATTAGTTAATATGTACAATTTGTCATTTTTATGAATAGTTTTTTGATGCAGCCGTAATTACCGACCCTTTAGTACAAGCTGTGCCATCTAGTGAGAACAGTGAAAACTATTTTTACTACAAGCTTGGACATTTTACCACCGATGGTGCCAGTAAGAGTTGATTACCGGCATGAAATTAAAATGAATTTTTAACCAATTTTGTATTATAAATACAAAGCTACAGGTCCAAATTAATGATATATTATGTTTCATCTTACGTTAAACTACGTATATATGTAAATAATTGCAAAATTTATAATTACTTGCTTCGTAGGTTGGAAAACCTTCCACCGCTAGATGGCGATACCGATCATTGTCACCTTTTCGACAAGTTATCCACAGCCTGCGAAAGTTCAAAGAGATCACGTGACAGTTCGACCTATACGAATTTATCGAATCAAGTTTCGATAATTTCGATGATCGTTCGAATTTGAGAAAACGGCAGTTTCAATATCGTTTCAACGACAGTTTGCGAATAGTAGTGCATAATGTTGGAAAGAAAGTGAATTTTGTGCATCGTTTCGCAGCATAAGTGCAATATAGTTTCAAGATCTGCTTGGACAACCTTAGGATCACTGTCGATGGATATTACGTTGCTTGGTAAGAACGAAATTTCAAGTAATGTATCCGAATGAATTAAGTATGATGTCGATGGCGGTAATGGCGTCCTTTCTCGCATTTGGATGGTAGATAGATAGATCATTCTTTATTATAATAAGAATAACTGAGTAGTCAGTCGGAAAAAACGATGTAAAGTCAAGCGTATACGCTAGTGGATGCGTCTTCTTGCGAGTCTCCAGAATTGCTACCAGGTATTTCAACGTATTCTTTTCGATCCCTGTGGAAAGGAATTCGATAATCTGTATATAGCACTTTTTTCGAAGTAAAAATTGGGAACATTTGTTCGTTTTAAGTGTCTTTATGTCATGAATTCCCAGCTCTCGATCATTTCAAAATGTTAGTTTAATTAGTATTGTTAGTAATTTATAAATATACGTACATACACACGCGCACACAAGATCACGTACACGCATTATCATACATGCAATAACTGATTTACTCCACGCTATCATACAAGTTTAATATGCATTCAATCGTCAATTCATTCTTAACATCAGAAACGCTAAATATGTATTTTATTTACAAGAACATTGTTTGGCACAATAATGTAGTCGCATTATTTTCATCGATAACAAAACTGAATTTGTATTAAAATTACCCTAGTAACTGTTTGGCACGAAAAAATATATTTACAATTTTTATTTAGAATATTGCATCAAAACTAGTTAGGCTAAATCAAAATACAGTAATTTAATTCTTACACGTATGTACATCTATCAATCTAAGTATTTTTTTTCATTTATTTATTTATAATCAACAACCAACGGAGATTCATTTAGATATTTAAAAACCCGTAAAAATAATCTCAATAGTGACTGTTTATCAACATTTTAAGTGGAATGTAAATTTCCTATTATAATACGATAATAGGCATATACTGTAACATTTTAAATACTCAATACTGAATCTTCATTCAAAATGGAATGAAGTTTGCAAGTTTTAATACATTTTTAATATATTTATAAATAGCAACATGTATCTTTCACTATTGTCCCTTTATCTCCATTATATAAATTTTCTTGTTTGTGAAGTGTTTCATCGATTGTTGCATTGTGGGTATCTAGTCTGCAAAAATTTATGATTTTGCAAGCATGTGCAATATAGAAGAAAAATAATATATAGCAATGAGATGATTTGGAAACGAAACTGATGATGAGACGTGTTTATATTTTGTCTGAGGTCAATCATCTTTTCATTGACAAATCTGTAAAATTAAAACTTTTCACTACCTCATACATAGAACTATGTGCAATAGCGAAAGTACTGAATTAATTAAATTATATCGAGTTTAAGCAACTAACAAATAATTAGTGTGAAGTTTTCGATCAAATTTTGTGCATATATACAAACATATGTATTAGCTCCCAAATTCACATAACATTTGTAATCGTGTGCCTAAAAAATCATTTTCGTAAAAATAAATTAAACAAATTTCCAATTTTAATTTGTTATTACAAAATCAAACGTTAATTAGACTTTAACTAACATAATCGATGTACAATATACATTTTTATGCAAATTGTTTATTGTGTAAATATTTTATGAAGAATTAAACATTACATTAAAACATGCAACATGCTCTTTTCAAATGCTTTTTTTCCTTTGTTAGTATTAAAATCTTTAAAAACAATTCGTGTTATACATAATTCTGTAAATGTGTGAGGCAAGCAGTGTTAGATGAAAAATGACAGATGATAAGTAGTAGAGAGGAAATATACGTACCAATACAAAATGTAATGTTGTATAATGAAAAATATATCAAATGCAACTGAAAAGAATCCCAGACCGAATTTCGTTGGGTCTCCAAAAATACTTTCCCAATCATCTAAAAAGAAAATTGTCATCGATTATTTAAGAACTTCGTCTCGTTATATGTCTATTCCATATATATTACCATAATTGTATGCATTCAGTATCATCTGCAGCATCGACAAAACACCACCGGTAAAATCTAAAAATATATTTCCTATGCTCCAACCAACTGTGGATTTTCTTTTATAATTGTAAAATGCTTGTGGAACGTATTTGATTAATGTTATACACAATTTAATGTAACTACAATAATATAGGAAATCGAGCCACGCTAGCGTTTCTGTGCCAGCTAGTATTATAGAAACTAGTACAATGACTGCAAATATTCCGTGAATAATACGTGCGGTTGTAGATACTCTTTGAGTACCTGCCTGAAAAATTAATAATCTCGTTAATACTTGTTTTTTTATTTATCAACATTTTTGATCGAATAGATTTCGAATTATTTACCTCGTAATAAAAGCATTGAACGATAGTTATCACAGTAGCAAATACTGCATGCAAAGAGAAAAATATATCATTCACTTGCACAGGATTTAAACCTTTCGGATATCGCTTAAAATATTCAATCTGAAAAATGTAGTTGCGAATTAATACTTGTGATACGATTACAAATAATATAGTACATTAAAAAAATATATATATATCAATTACAGTTATCATTTAACATACCTCTATTTCTGGTATCCAAAATAGACCACAATTAAACAGGGCATACATAATAAAACCGACCAAATTTAACGATAAATAATCGAAATTTAATCCTACAACACTTTTCCGTCTGTAATTGCTGTATATCTGTGGATAGAAACTTACACTCCATGCTAAAAAGTATATCCATCCAACTACAGCACTTATATGATAAAGAGTGTCCGACTTTTCTATAGTAACTCTAACAAATGCTTGTGAAAAACTGAAAACACGAAAAAAGAGACTCGTTAATAAACGGCGAGCGTAAAACGGAGATCGTAACGTACGCGCTATCGTAAAAAGTACAACTTCGTAATCACTTCTTACTTTAAATCAACTTTGTCTAACTGATCTTGAGGAATCACGATCACTTTAAAAAATGTCATTATTCTCTAATTTTAATTACTTCGATAATATTTCGATTATTTTTAAATCTCACAGCATATATTTTGGAGCACGGTAGAACTTCAACAACAATTACACTAAATCACTTTTTATGTAAAACTTGTAAATTAATTAATACATTCGTTACTAATAACTAATTCGATACATTCTAGTTAGAGCAGGAAGTAGACTGCTCAAAATCTGAACACAGACTGAGTGAACTTTAAGTTTAAGATCCGATGACAAGTACAGGTCAGGAGGCTATCTCTGCAAATAACTGGCAGTGGATGCTAGTGAATGTAAGACTGATCAGAATCTTTTGGAAATTAGTCATGAAAGTAAATATTGATATCGCTTGAAAACATTACACAATTGCATTTGATATCAGATAGGAGAGAGGGAGAATTTATTCTTTTTCCTAATTTATTACTTCTATATACTTACTCCGTTATATTATAAGGTGTGACATTAGCACTAACAATGGAATGTCCTGCATTAAGGCCCTTTACAGATATATTCCACTGGCTCTTAATATCATTCTCACTGATATTAAAAGTAACAGGATCAGTGGATAATAAATCTGGATGTTGCACGTTTATCAACACAGATGCAGCTCCAGATAGATTCTTCCTGCAAACAGTAATTGCATTTAAAGCATTGTCATTTGTGTTTGCATCAATTGCAATTAAAACATTAAGCCGCCACTTACGTCAGGCACAGAGTAAATGACTTTTGAGCGTCAAGGTGAACTTTTAGGTCTTGAGACGAAACTTGTAAGTCTGCCCATACTTGTCCTACAACTAAAAAAATGTCATGCTCTACGATATATGGACTACCATCCAAAAAAGTACAATATAATTCAAATTCTTTCACCGAATTAATTTTATCATTTAAGACGTTGCATACTAACTTACCTAACGCTGCAAAAATTCCGATATACCAGAGAGAAGCCATTCTCGATCGTTTCTGAAATGAACAAAGTAGTTCTTTATCATTCCCGAGCAAAGTATCAAATATAAACATACTGTCAACGAACATGTCAAGCAGATTCACATGCACCGACTCTTTTGGGTAAAGGGAACATCATAGATAAACCTTATTTCACATGCGAATAGATACAAAATATTTACAAAAGCACAAGTGGTGGCCACTACCGCGTAACTAGACTCGCTGTACGCGTCATTCAGACGTAACGCGTCATGACAAAAGCACACGCGGCAGTTAAAGTGTTAAACTAGTTTCAGTAATCGCGGTTCGACAGTGCACATCTATTCAGAAGAGAAATCTTCTACCTTCTGAAGGCTTTGACCGCTTAACGCGGGAAAAAAAACAAGGAAGTCTTATGAAGTGTCGCGCACTTTGCCGGATGCATGCCATTGATACCGGAGCGACGGATCTGTCAGCCTATTCACGAGCTGTCATTCGCGTAGATCGATATCTATATCACAGAGGCGATCGTACGTTGCCGTCGGATACCTCCCATTGATTCATTGACAATTACGAGACGCGTTGCCATGCTTTCGTGCGATCCGTTCGCCTTGCGTAGAGTACAAAAGCGATTCTCGTGAAAAGACACAGGGAGTATCAATCGAACTTAACCTCGTAAGCACAACGACCTCGATGGAACACGTCGTGGGGCGTTAGAAACGATAAGAGCTCACGTTTTTGATGTCTTCGACATTTTGTGCGTGCCTTGACTCGTTTCCGAGCTCTGGCATCGCACAATTAACGCGTTACACGGCGTAAAAAAAAAAAATCGATGGAGCCTTCGTGCAAACGAATACAAAAGCACGCGCTGTCTGTTTACATTATTGCTGGGTATTCCCGGCGTAAAGGATGCATCACGACCAGGAGCGTGACGAAGCATGGCCCCACCGGGGTTTCCGAAAGAATTTCTTCATTTAAATCGGATTCCTGGATTAGAGTGTCAAGGATTGGGACGATTACGATTTCCGTGGCGTCGCGATTTGAACGTCTTTTTATTTAACATATATTATTAGATGAAGAATGTCGCAACCCACGATTCTCTAGTACGTTTAGTTTTTGGAGTTACGTGTACCCTAAGTTTGATAACATCGCGTTTATTTGACAGAAGGTCGATGGTAAATCGACCTTAGGTAAATAGGATTAGAGGCCGAGGAAAATGAGTATATAACTTTGTACTTAATTAATGGACACTGTTAAAAGAAAACATTTGGCAACCACTGATTTACGCGAGTCCGTTCTCGATGTCCTCCAGAAGTTGCAAAATTAGTCGGATATAAATTTCTCCATGGTATTATTTAGGCGAAAAAGAGCTCGTAGAGTTTCTCAGGCTCGCAACGAGATATTTGCATGTAAATTGCAGGACAACGCGACGCCATTAACTGGTTCCACAACGTCGTGGTTATCGTTTTGATATGCAATGTTTTACTATTCCGAGGTTCTCTTTTTCTGTTTTGTAATCTTTATCATATTCTTCCTCGTCCTATTAATTGTCCCAGTGCTCCTGATAGACTCATGATATACATTATGGAAATTAGTCATGAAAGTAAATATTGATATCGCTTGAAAACATTACTTAATTGCATTTGATATCAGATAGGAGAGAGGGAGAATTTATTCTTTCGTAGATACATATATCTTTTTTCGATTAAATGGGCCATTCAAAGGGAACAGATTTTTCGAATCATTTCAAATCAGTTCGTTTCGTTACAGTCTCGAGTCTCTTTTCGGATAGAACTCGTATCGATTAATTGCTTTGTAAACGTAAATACATTCGTACGAGAGCCTGGCAAGTCGGGGATTTTCCTTTGGCTTCAAATTTTCCGCGGCTTTATCAACCGATTACTCACGTTCCCCTTTGTTGTTCGTATCGGTCAATGCAAATGGAAGTTCCATTCGTTCAAAACTGTAAACGTTTCCTGCTTATAGTTCCTGTTTCTCACGTACGTTTATTCGCTTGTTTTCACAATGATAAGAAACCGACCGGGAACAATGAAACGCGAGAACCGTTACCAAGAAAAATAACGAATTGCGGCGAAATCGATTGAATTTTTTCTTGGAGTCCTCTTATCGCCAAAGCCCCGGAATGTTTAAATGCGTGCACGAACGATCGAACGTCATTGTTTATTGCTGGGAGAAAAAGATTACCGCGACAAGCTTTTTTTTATAAATATGTCGTCTTAGGCTAACAAATCTATTTATTTATCTGTTACAGCTACGAAAGAGTTGGGATCGTTGTGATACATGAGCGTGACTTTCGACCGAACCGAAAGAGATTAGGAAATCTCTAAATCGACGAAGTGACCACGCCGTGGAGGGACGAAGCTGATTTTCCGAAAAGTGGACGAAAAGTGGACGGTCATGAAGTTTAGGATCACAAGCCCTCTTAAAGGCAAATTTTTAAAAACCATTTGAAAAATTAATAACCATCTCCCCAAAAATAAACAGGTTCTTCGTACGTTCTAAAATGCTTCCTCCTGGATCTCGATTCGGACGAAGTCGAAGCATCAAAGTAACTTAAATTCCCTCGATGGTATATTAATATCTCTCGTTCAGCAATGCGAAAAATTCAGTCCGGGCAAGTTGCTCGCGAGGGTATCGGAAGTTTTAGGCCGGGAATGGGTCGACCTGGCTATATCATATACATTTCGAGATAGAATAAATCGAAAGAGAGATCGACGTTCGAGTGCACTCAGCGTCCCAAAGGGGCCTTCGCGAAGCTCGCACGGAAACAGCTCTGAAAGTCGATCGGCAGTCTGCTGCCGCTTTTGTTGGCGTATACAGGCTTCCTCGTCGCCAATATTTTCCTTTGCGTCATGCCCGTGGACCGAGTAGAACGGACCTAATCCTCGACGATGGCCCTCTCCCATCTTTTCACCCGGACCCCCATTTCTTTCTGTCCTTTCTATCACTTTCAATTCGTCCTCGATATGGATAAACAAGATCGTTCCTGGCAGGACGTTCGCCTGGTATACATTGAAATTATTCGGTCGGATCGTTCCAACGGAATACCCGAGGAAATATGCCTCTTCGAGGAGCTCTCTTCAGATTTGGGAATCCGGGAAACCCCCGTCGCTACGTTCTGGGAAATTTCTGGAATGTCTCGAAGTGTTTTCTTCGACGATACGGTCCACGGCGATCTTCTCAGCGATTCCGAGTAAACGGATACGACACGGTTCGCGAGTATCGCGAGAATGGTGATAGCATATATTCCGTTGTTCCGATAGATTCGAAAGTTCGGCAGACTTTAAAGCTCTTCGATACAGAGGAGTCCCCATAATCCATATCGGTGTTATCTACAGGTGGGCTGTAGGTTCTAGGAGGTTATTAGATTCTAGAGCTTCGTACTCGAGCTTATTAACCATTCAGCTGTGTTCGACGACTATATTCGTCAATATTTTAACCGAGTCACTTACTCTGTACGACTATACCTCTTTAAAGAAAGGACGTCACAGCTGACTAATTTATTGCTGAAATTATACGAGAAATGTACTTCGTTTCTTTTCTTGCGAAGAAGATGGAGAATGAGCATCTCTTACGTCAGGCCACGCTGATTCGTTATCTAAGCCTTTTTCGTGGCTGTCGAGCAATTATGTGTTCCTCGATAAACTCAATACACTATAATGGGTCAAGTGTCGGTGAAGTTCCACCGCGATTGCGGAAACTGTTTGACGTATTGAAACGGAATAGACAAGCGATAACGGACGACTGATACCGCGGTGACGGATGCGTGGGAGACAGCTCAGGGCCCGTGAAGACAATTGCGAAAAAAATAGATATATACTTTTAATTCGACGGTTTACCCGGCGTGTTCGAGGGGATTGGGAACCACTGCGATAAGAAAACACCAGACAAAAAATGGAGTCTACGCCTACATCCATGAATTACACGGACTGCTGATATTATTTATATAAACATTATATTATGTACGGCGATTAAACCAGCATGGGGGGATTCTAGATAAACGCGTGCATATAGTAAGGCTCATCGTTATGCGAACTATAGTGTAACGCATATTTCGGTTACACAAATGTTCTTTAAATTAACGCACAAGTTTCAAGGTGGCTATTGATAACAGTTAGAGAAAATCAAGTAAATTGACCCGAAAGAGGTGGACAGAGAATGTTAGTATTCGTCTCTCGGAATATGAATTTTCTAATGTGAGAAAATGAAAGTTGAAAAATTTCCGTTCGTTGTAAAAATATGATCTCCGCTTTCACCGACGCGCAGAGTTGTTCGAATAATTACAGCTGGTACTGTACGTCGTACGTGTATCAAAGATGCAAATGAATGGAGGGAGAAACATAATTTCGTCGACGATTGATTACCTCGAGCCTTGACCAATTTTCTTATTTGTCGATTACCACAGCATTTCGGTTCCGGTATCTTCGTTATTGGGGAATCGATATTGCCAGCAGTTTTCGGCGCGCAATCGTTTACATGAAAGGTCTGTCAATTATACAGAACGATTCACGAAATGTGCCTGTATCTTCGATGAAAAAGTAGCAAAGAAAATATCTATACGCAATAAAAATGCTATTATTATTAGATAAATGATGTGGGATTCACTTTGTCGGATTTCCTTTTTTTCTTTTTTCATAAGAAGCTCACCTTGCATTCCGATACGAGAACTTCTTATCATCGGACCATATAACGATATAGTGCTACGAAAGCGTTTACAAATAGCTAAGATTGTACACGAGATACGATGGTTATAAATAGCTGAAGAAAATCTATTGAAAAATTCCAGAAATCCCAAGTAAATTTTATAAAGCGAAACATAGAGTCTAATAATACACAGAGCATACTAAAAAGAATCTTCCACGCACATGTGTTAAATTCCCGAGGTTACGACCACCATTCGCGAAACTCTCTGTAGAACCGTGACCAGTGCGCATCGGTTTGTCAAAGTCGACTGATTTCTCTTGCAGACGTGTTATTAAACATTTTTCATGCGACGTGTTCGGCCGCGTTATCTTTCG